AGCAATTTTCTTGTCTCGGCATCCCAAAGTGTGGGGATTACAGGCTTGAGCCACCACGCCTGGCTAAAGTTTCTCTTGATACTTCTTCTTTGACCCATGTGATATTTAGAAATGTGTTGTTTAATATTCAAGTATTTTGAAATTTCCCAACCACTTTTCTGTCACTGATTTCTAGTTTAATTCTATTTTAATCTGTGAGCATACTGTGTATAATTTTTATTCTTTTAAATTTATAAAGGTGTGTTATGCCTAGAATGTGATCTGTCTTAGTGAGTGTTCCATGTGAGCTTGACTGTTAGAGTGGCCTAAAAAGCACCCAACAATGTGTTATCTTCTAGAAACCCATTTAAAATATATAGAGACCTAAAGATTAACAGTAAAGGGATGGAAGCGGGTATATTATGTTAACACTAACAGAAAGAAAGCTGGAGGAGCCATATTAATTTCAGACAGAGCAGACTTCAGAGCAAGGAAAGTTATTAGCAATAAAGAGAAACGTTGCATAATAATAAAAGATTGATTCCATGTGAGCTTGAATGTATATTCTGCTGCTATTCGGATGAAGTAGTCTATAAATCTTAATTAGATCCATTTGATTGACGGTACTGTTGGGTTAAACTACATCTTTCCTGACTATCTGCCGGCCAGATCTGTTTATTTCTGAGAGAGGACGTTGGAAGTCTCCACTATGATAATGGATTCATCCATTTCTCCTTGCAGTTCTACCAGTTACTCAAGTATTCGGATACTCTGCTGTTAGGTACTTACACATTAAGGATTGTTAGGTATTCTTGGGGAATCAACCTTTTATTATTATGCAACGTTTCTCTTTATTGCTGATAACTTTCTTTGCTCTGAAGTCTGCTCTGTCTGAAATTAATATGGCTCCTCCAGTTTTCTCTCTGTTAGTGTTAACATAATATACCCGCTTCCATCCCTTTACTGTTAATCTTTAGGTCTCTATATATTTTAAATGGGTTTCTAGAAGATAACACATTGTTGGGTGCTTTTTAAGCCACTCTAACAGTCTCTGTCTTTTAATTGGTATATTTAGACCATTCACATTTAAAGGAATCATCGAAACAGCTGCAGTGATATCTACCATATTTGTAACTTTTCAATTTGTTGCCTTTGTTCTTTGTATCTTTTTGGTCTCCCATTCTTTTTCTGCCTTCTCTGGTTCTTATTGAGTGTTTTATATGGTTACATTTTCTCTCCTAATTATACTTCTTTTTAAAAAGTTTTTTTAAGCATTTGCAATATATATTTACAACTTATCTATGCCCACTTTTAAATAAAACTATATTTCTTCGCAGATAGTAGAGGTTCCTTATAATCGAGTACTCCCAACTCCTCCTTCCCATCTTTATAAAACTTTTGTTATTTGTTTCACTTATCCATAAGCTACAGTTAACCAATATGTGGTTGTTATTTCTTTGAACACAAGTTGTCTGTCAGATCAATTAAGAGTAAGAAAAATATATTTTATTTTACCTTAACTTATTCCTTCTCTAACACTCTTTCTTTCTTTATGCAAATCAGAGTTTCTGACCTACATATATTTTCCTTTTGTTGAAAAACTTCTCTTAGCATTTCTTGCAAGGTAGGTACTGGCAACAAATTACTTCAATTTTTGCTTGTCTGACAAAATATTTAACCTTCACTTTTGAAGAATAATTTCACTGCACAGAATTGAAGGTTGATTTTTCCCCTTTTGATCATTTAAATATTTTACACCACTCTCTTCTTTCTTGCATTGTTTCTGAAAAGAGGTTTAGTATAATTCTTATCCTTATTCTTTTATACATACAGTGTTTACTTACCTATAAGGAGTCTCCTAGATTCAAGATTTTTTCTTTTCCTTTGATTTTCTGCAATTTAAATATGATGTGCTTGGTTGTAGACTTTTTGGCATTTACCCTACTAAGCATTGGTGTTCCTTGAGCTTTCTGGATCTCTTATTTGGTGTCTGTTAACTTTGGAAAATTCTCAATATTATTACTTCAAATATTTATTCTGCTACTATCTACTCCTATTGGTCTTCCCTTTATGAGTATGCTACACCTTTTGTAGTTGTCCAACAATTCTTCAACATTTTGTTATTTTAAAAAATTTACTCTTATTTCATTTTGTGAAGTTTCTGATGACATAAGTTCTAGTTTACTGATTCTTCCCTCAGTCATGTCCAGTCTGCTGATGAGCCATCAAAGGCATTCTTCATTTCTGTTGCAATGTTTTTTCATTTCTAGGTTTTCCTTTCAGTTCTTTCCTATCGTTTCCATCTCTCTGCTTACATCACACATCTGTTCTTGCATGCTGTCGACTTTTTGTGTTAGAGTCCTTGGCATATTAATTACAGCTATTTTAAATTCCCAGTCTGATAATTCCAAATCTGTGTCTGATTCTGATGCTTACTTTTTTTCCTTCAGGTTGTACTTTTCACATTTTTTTTGGTATGCTTTGCAATTTCTTGTTGTGAGTAGAATATGAATAATGAGTAAAAGGAACTGAGGTAGATGGGCCTTCAGTGTGTTTAGCTGGCTATGTTAACTAACTGGTTTATATTTAATTGGCTGTGTTTACTATTTATTGTAGCTGCAGATGCCAGAGATTAAAATTCGCCCTACTATTCTTGTTTTTGTCTCCTCTATTGTCTTTCCTGTGAGACTTAAACCGAATCTGAACTTTGCAAGTACTTCTGTGATCATATCTTGTTATAATTACATGGTGATGACACTTGAGAGCTCATTCTTCTAGCAGCCTGTGCCCCTGGCCTATAACCTTCACCCCTGCCCCCACCACCACCTAACAAACAGGCCTCTTGGGTGAGGCAGGAATGCTAGAGGGTGCTGGGGTCTGGTATTTCCCTTTCCCTGGGTGGGTTAGGTTCTGGTGAATAGACTGTCTGGAGGGCAGGTCTGCTAGGCAAACAGAGGCACCCTGGCTTATTTTTCATGGCTCCTTTCCCTAACAGTCAGAGCATAAGGGGATTTCTTCTGACCTTCACCATGAGAATGTGATGGGGTTCCTGGAGGTGAAACTCACAGAAGTGTGCGTCTCCAGGAGTCTTTCTCCCAGGTTTGTCCACACTCAGTCTCCAGCAGTTAGTCAGATCCCATAATGTGCTCCCACCAGGTGCTGGCTCCAGAGGCAATGCTTACTCCAGCTATGTTGTGATTATCTGCATCTACCCATCTGCCTCTTTGGGTGTTAGGACAGCAGTTTGTGATGTTACCTTGATTCTCTGATGGGTCTAAGAAGAGCTGTCTGCTTTCAGTCCATTTAGCTCTTTTCTTGTGGGAATGGGAATGACAATGTTTAAACTCTTTACTTGCTGGGCCAGAAACGGGAGTCCCCTCACCCCTGCTTATCTGTACCTCTCAGTACTCCTAAATTCCTAACTAGGTATTTATTTTTTGAAATTCAGGCTATACTTTGACAAAGTTTATTCAAACTTTTCACAAATTCTGGACTGTTTTTGCTGGAACTCAGTTCAAGGCAAAAAGGGAGTGCTGTGAAGAGCAGGTACTGAGACACAGGGAGAGGTGTGGCCCCCAGCCTGCCAAGCCAGGATCAAGTGAGCATGTTCAGAATCGACACTCTCTCCTGACGCATATAAGTGCTCAGTCCACATTCATTGTTCCTAGCATGACTTGTCAGTACTGACCACATGGTGGCCTCTGGGTGAGGCTTTGCTAGAGTTAAATGTATATCTAACGTGCAGTTTTAAATAAACTGTGGGATAGGCCATGTGTTTTATGACTGACTTGAGTTAGCAGTAAATTAGGTATGCAAAAGGTTACCGAAAAACAGAAAGATCTACAGATTCTGACCACATTTAAACATGGCATGCAAGTTTCTTAGAAGCATGACCCTTATCCTGCTTCTGGCTTTATGTGGTACATGTTTGGTTATGGCTCTCCCTGGTGCTCTCAGCACTGCTGCTGGAACTCATCACATGCTGGTGTCTCATGTCCATGAAAATCAAGGGAAGAGCAGCCTCTGGCTGGGTTGTGTGGCTATTCCTGCCACGTGCCTCAGTAGAAGAGTCAGATACAAGGATTTAAAAGTATCAAAAGATCCTCAGTCAACGGGGCAGGTGAAAAATCATCCTGCTGGCTAGAATCCTGCTCTCAATGTTGATGAAACCAACACTCAAGCAATTCAGAGAAGACCTGTTTCTCAGATTCATGAGGGGTGAACTGTCTCCCAAGTGGGCAAAAATAATGAATCTGGACCAATTGACATAATTGGTTGCTCTCCACAGTTATTACAACTTTAATGACATCTCAAATTGATGTGCTCTGGCTCCAGAGCCTACACAGACTTCAGAAGGATTTACATACAACAGAAAAAGATCACATCAAATGGGAGATAAAGGCACAAACTTCCTGTGGACTAAATAGGGCATAAGTTGAAATTTCTCAAACCTAGGGAAATACACTCAACTGTCCCTAAGACACAGAAATGAAATGGCTGGGACAGGCTCATGTCAGCAGGAGTAACTTAGGGCAAATCTTGTCAGTACAGACGCACAGTGTTTACTCATCAAGTGAGGACATTTTCACTGCTACAAACACGCTCTTGTCCATTTTTGGTTTTGAAATATACAATCCTCTTTTTTAAATTTCTGTTTTTAATTTTCTCACATCTGATAGGGACACAAATACAGAATTATTCTCTCCTCCTTTTAACTCTAGGAAAGCCAAAAATCCCTGTCTGAGCATCTCTGGGGAGCAGGAGTGGTAGCCAGGGCTTGAAAACTGTCTGAGTGGCCAAGGAGGCCTACAGCCAGCCAGGTGTAGATTCCAGAGAAGCCAGAAGCCAGGTTTCCACAGGAGATCCCTGGCTAGTGACCGCTGGCCAGCGAGTTATGAAACCCAGACCACACAGGTCCTCTCATGAGGAAACCGGGCAGAAGGGGCCAGAAAGAGCCAGATGCCTAGAAGGAGGGGCAGTCACAGAAACAGGAAATCCCACAAGACAGCATGGAGTCTTACCTTTAAAGTCAAATTGATGGATGTTTTTTAAGGATTCATGAAGAAAATAAAAGCTTCCTAGTGCCTGTAGAGCAAAAAGAGAAATCAAATTAGAGAGTAGTGCTGGGAATAGTTCTAAAGCAAAGTTCTGAACAACAAATAAAAGAAGTTCTGCTAAACCAGAGCAAGAGTTTAACCAGTCATAACTTCATCACAATCACTGAGACGTAAGATGCCAACCACAGATAACCTGTGAACACCCAAACACCACCAAGCTCAAGATGGAAAGTAAACCACGAGGCTGGCACTGCTTCTGGCAGACATGGAGGTCCAGTGGTCCAGGCCTGGGGACGCTAGACCGTTTCCTAGTGCTGACACTTGACTCTGTCCTGGGGCCATGTGGCTGACCCTGACCCTGGTCTGTGGCCCCTCAGCATCTGCTCCATTCACCTCGCCTTCCCTGCTCCAGCTGCCCCCTCATGCCTGAGGAACTGCCCAGCACTTCCCCAGAAGCCGCCAGCCCTCCTCCAATCATGGGCTAGCAAATAGTCACAGAGCACCTGCTCTGGGCACAGGGACCCCTGCTCTTGGCACTCTGGAGAAGACCCAAACACAGGGCAGGGCTGGGGGCAGGGCAGCCACAGGGCTGGGTAGTACAGACACCGCATCAACAGCCACCTGTTGATCTGAAATTCAAAACTGACAAGGGATTTTATAAACAAAGGTGCCAAAAACAATGTATACACATTCATTTTAAGAGATGTTATCTATATATTACTTTGAATTAAGTTGCAGTAGCAATATGTAGTATGATGTTCGTGCAACCATGCTTCTACTATTTTCTTTAACTGTCCTGCCTATCATATGGTGATGCTAGCATTCATTTGATAAACACCAGCTTTTGAGTAAACATCTTACTTAAAATGTGTATACACTTTTTGACACCCCCGTATATGTATGGAGGTGTGTGTGTGTGTATTCATATATGTATACATTTCTATGTGTGTGTTTGTGTGTGTGTATATGTATGTGTATGTGTATGTGTGTGCGTGTGTGTGTATTTTTTTTTTCTTTTTTCTTTTTTGCAACCCTAACACAAGGGACCTGGAAGAACTTTTGGGCAATAAAAGTATTCTACAACTAGACAGGAGTGTGGTCACAAAACTGCACATATTTGTCAAAATTCACCAACAAATCCACCATCTGTAAATGACAACTTCATAAGCCCACTTAACAAACAAGCCCGATCTCGTGAAACTGGCCCCTCATGGGAGTAGTCTGCATGCCCTGTCAGGGGTGGGAAGTGCCAGAACAAAGCTGGATGAGTGGTGAGGGGTATGGGGCAGGGTCAGGCAGGCTGAGAGGGGAGGGCGTGTGAGTGCAGCCAGCAGATGGAGGGAGGAGCCACCCGAGGGGGACTTTGTGACCAGCCCACACCAGGGAAAGGCTCTGAGCCACAGGGTTATTGCCCTAACTTCATTCTGCAAAGCGCCACATCTTCAGAAGGCTGAAAGCACGGGGCAAGGACATGCCACATCTTCATTACACCTGTCTGTTTCTGGCAGATCCACGATCCCATGACACCAAATTCCTTAACACTTCCGTGGGGATCCCCCTCCCGTGTAATCACAGAACCACTACTGCACTGAGAGAGTTAACAGTGATCCCAAAGCATCACCGCCCCAACGCCCTTACACTTCTCCAATTACTCCCACATCTTCTATCGCCCCCACTTTGTGAGCCATGGAGTCCCAGGGGAAGTGAGTCGGTGCACCTCTAATGTGCTTGCTAGGCAGGCATCCTGGGAGCTGAGCTACAGGAGCAGGCACTGAGCTGGGTGTCAGGAGGCTGTGGGGTCCCTCAGGTGATTGGGGGGACTGGTGGGGTATGTGGAGAGGGGAGGTGTGTTCTGGACTTGCTGAGAGGCAGGGTGTAGAGTGGGGCATTGGGCCCAGGCACCAGTGGTGGTGGTGGCTGGCCTAGTCCCTGTCCGTAGCATCCCCCACCCGCCAGGTTAGCTCTCGGGCCTGCCCGGTAGACTGCCTCTGGTCTGACACCGCCCCGACCACGACACAGGAAAGCACCTGCCCGGCATGTGGAACACAGCAGGTGTGAGTCTCCATGCAGTCCCTGAAGTCCAGTTTCAACCCACACACCAGGGGCCAGAACTCTCTGCAGGACTTCCTTGGGCATGTCATTGATCCAGTGAGATAACCAGAGATACCGTTTCAGATCCTGCAGTCCCACTCCCGAGAAGAAGGAACACCGATCTGCAGTGGGTTCCCACCATGCACTGTGCTGAGTCACCCACACGCGCTCCTCCTACCCTTTGCCCACACGCAGCTCCAGGAACATGAGCCAACTTGGCAGGAAGCCGGGAGCCACCCCAACACCTCAGAAGCCACATGTACTAGGACAGGCCCATTCTCTAAAGAAGTCAAACTGCTGAGTCAGAGCAACTTTCATCTTTTTGAGAATCCGCTTATCTGATTCCACACTTCAAGTGTTTAATCGCAGAGGCAAAGCTGAAATTTACTACCATGGAAAACTTAGATGGAAAATAAACTTATTTTAATAATTATGGTTTGAAAAATAAAGTATTAGAATCAGCCAATTCTTGCCTTCAACAGTGCCCACCGTTTCCACATGTGGACTGTCTAGGTCCACACTTTCCACATGGGACTATGGCAGACTCACAGGCCAGGAGAGGCTTGGACACAGCTGCCTGCAGTCCGTGGGGCTTCATTTTTTGTCACGACGGCACTAACACAACTGGCAGGATAGCTACACTCGCAAACACTGAGACTCAAACTTGTCCGGAATACTGCTTGGTTTTAACATTCTTTTCCAGCCATCACCCTCAACAAGAACTCTGATCACACAATCCAAGGGACTCTGATCCTCTGGCCACAGGCACACGTGTGCTTGCTCTCCACAGCCATGAGGTTAGCCCCAGCTCCCGCCTCCCCACGGCTGCACTGCAGCCTTCCTCTTCCTCACGCCATCTCCTGCCCTCCCAGCACCCCCCATCCGCCATCATGCTCTCTCTTGAACACACTCCCCAGCCCCCCCACCCATGTGAGTCACCTCCCAGCTGCCAAATCCAGTGTCCAGTCTCTAATGGCATATCTCAGAGGAGGGGAGAGGCCGCCAACACCTTCCCCCTCCTACTGCACATCCTACCAGCCCATCTTCCCACACGAGCCTCTGCCCATCACCTCCACTGCTGCCTCTGGAAAGATTCAGGGCTTCTTGCTGGTCCCCACCCAGCTCCTCTGCACAGTGACTGGGGCACACACTGTGTGTCCCATCCATTCTGGTCACATAGGTGGGGCCTCAAAGTGATGGGGCTCAGATAAGGTCTGGGTGCAGGGCTGCTCACACGGACACCCTGCCAGAAAATACTGTTTTGACCCTAGGAACGAAACAGCTGAGAGGGGCTACCTAACAGAGCATACTTTGAGGAACAGTTACTAAAAAGAGGGCACTGCTTAGCTGCCAAACCAGGCCTACAATGGTCCTGGACACCGATATGACCTGCTCCCTCCACTGCTGGTGCACTCCTTCGTTGGCAAGGAGAGGGTAAGTGGCCACAGCTAAGGACAGAAGACATAATGTGTCTCCAACCTGGTAGAGCTAAGGACATAAGCGCCTGCATGCACACGCACACATGTACCTCTGCATGAGTTCTGAACAAAGGCAAGAGAGCCCTGGAGCCACAGGGCACCCAGCAGGCCTCCGAGCCCCACATCCGGACCACCACCCAGATGTGAGTGACTCGGACCGGCCAACACGTGATGGAAGCCTTCTGTCTGGGAGGACGGGGGATGAAAGAAGCCCTGAGGGGGTACCATGCACCTCTGTTCCTCTCCTGGGTGGGTCTGAGACATGGCAGATGGGGTCTTTGCCCTCACAGAGAAGCCAGGAGGTGGGAGCCGCTATGCATCTGATGCTGGTCCCCAGGGCCTTGCTTGAGTGGGGCTTGTCTGGTCCTCAGGCGCTTTGTGACCCCTGACCCCAGGCCATGCGCCATGGCGAGCTGCTGCTGTATCCTGAAAGCTGCGTGGACCCAGACTGGCATGTTCTCGTGCCAATGGGCACACGTTCATCCATCCAGGGAGGTCACCATGGAGCAAGCAGGTACACATGGACATCATGTACTCCAGCATGGCGCAGACACTGCTCACCTGACCCACCATTGCATCAGACATCCTGTTTGGAACCCGTTCAGACAGGAAACTGAGTCACCTTCGTGGCAGATCCTAAAAACAGCCAGTGTATGGCTTCTTCTTTGGCAAAATGGAGTTGAGGCCCCCTCACAGCAAGAGGGACGGGATACATGCGGTGATAGAGTTAATAGCGAAAACTGTAGGCCTGTGCTCCATGGACACATTTTAACATTCACCCATCGACATTAGCCCTTACAGAGGCTATGTTTTCATTTGTTTCAGATGAAGAAAGCATACTGAAAAAGTATAAGTAAGAATATGTCACTGCAAACATTTAGACGACTACCTCATTGAATGTGATAGAGCTAACAGAATATTACAATATTCACAATAAATAAGTAAAAAACAAACTGCCAATATGGGCATAGAAACTGCAATTCATAGAGTCAGAAAATCCATAATTAGCTCTAAAGAATATCTAAAGTCAAAGTTCAACCCAACTTTTTCAATGTTTGCCCTTCCCTATCAATACGGTTCAGAGCACTCATTTATCATAAATACCAGGACATCAGGCCAGGATTGTACCTGTGGTCCACCAACAGGAAGTTCCCAACTTGCCGGGGCCTCTAGCCATAGTAAGTGTCAACAGTATGCTTGTCACGTCTGAGAATATTGACTCCTTGTCTCTTTTGCTAAAAACAATTAACATACATTTTACATATTTATAAACCAGACTGTCAAGGGTGCTCATTAATTCTGCATTAGTGAAAAGCACCCCAGAGACTGTGATGTTTCTGCTACAACAGCAGACACAGGACAGGAGCCCCAGGGCATGGCAGTAAGTAAAGCAAGCCCCTGGGGCACCAGAGGGTGGGTCAGGTGTGGTCCACATGGGAGAGCCAAACCTTCACTAACC